TTTGAGATGGAGTCTTACTCTGTCACCCAGGCTAGAGTGCAGTGACATGATCTCAGCTCACTACAACTTTTGCCTCCTGGGTTCAAGTGATTCTCCTGCCTCAACTTCCCAAGTAGCTGGAATTACAGGCACCTGGCACTATGTCCAGCCAATTTTTGTATTTTCGGTAGAGAAGGGATTTTTGCCATGTTGGCCAGGCTGGTCTCGAACTCCTGACTTCAAGTGGTCTGGCCACCTCGGCCTCCCAAAGTGCTGGGATTGCAGGCATGAGCCACTGTGCCCAGGCTAACACCTATGTATTCTGATTATAAGTATTCTGAGAGAAGTTCCTGAAAACAAAATGTAGAAAACTTACTACTATAGGCAATATAACTTTCATGAGTACCTGTTGAGTAATTTATGCTAAAGTTTCATTTTATGTTTCTGCCAGTCAGCAAATCACATGAACACTTCCCTGCTGTCTTTATATCGGAAAGGAAATCCTGATTCTGTTTCAAATACTCCTGAGATGGAACAAACAGAAACCACCTCTTCAACACCACGGTTAAGTTCCAAAACAGCCTCCATTCCCTTGAAGACTCCTGCCAAAGATTCAGAGGGAGGATGGTTTATTGACAAAACCCCAAGTGGAAAGAAAGACAGTTTTTTCTTGGAACTATCAGATGAGAAAAGTAATCCTAAGAAGCCAATAACTGAGATACAGGTATTTTCGTAATGAAATTTTAGCCCCATGTAGTTGAAGTACATTTCAGTCTTTTCATTGAAATGCATGGAGAATTTGGTCACGTTGCACTACTTGCCATTCTTTCTATCGCCTTTTCTCTTTCTTGCCTTAATTATTGAAACAGCCTTCCAGCTGGAGTCTATGTCCTTGCTTGTTCCCCTAGTTTATTCTTCACACAGAGATAGCTTTTTTTTCCTTATTTTTTTTCTTTTTTTTTTTTGAGACTGGATCTGGCTCTGTCACTGGGACTAGAGTGCAGTGATACGATCTTGGCTTAATGCAACCTCTCCTTCCCTGGCTCAAGCCATCCTCCCATCTCGGCCTCCCATGTACCTGAGACTACAGGTATTGATCGATCGACTTACGACCTATGCAACTTACGACCATTCGACTTTACGACCACAATCGCTAGCCACGACTGCTCCGCGTCTGGCAACGCAAACGTTGCCCAGCTGGGCGTACGACAGTGCGGACCAGCTTCCAGCAGCACTACCATCTCCGGAGGCATGCATATAGCCTACTCAACTTACGACCAAATCATGTTACGACCGGTCCGTCGGAACCAATCGTGGTCTTAAGTCGAGCACTAGCTGTATAGGCATGGGCCACCATGCCTAGCTAACTTTTGTATCTTTTTTAGAGATGGAGTTTTCCCAAGTTGCCCAGGCTGGTCTGGAACTCCTGGGGTCAAGCAATTCAACCACCTTGGACTCCCAAAGTTCTGAGAGTATGGGCGTGAGCCACCACACACTATCATTCTTCTATTTAAAACTCTCCAGTGGCTTCATTCAGTCTCAAATCCAAAGGTCTTGTGAGCCAATAAAGACCTTTATGATTTGGCTGCCTGGCTTTCTCTTCAGTCTCATCTTCTACTACCCTGTTACGTATGTGAATCTGTTTCTTTAGCTGTAAATTTTACAAACTCTAAGTAGAAATCAAGTGTTTCTCATGAAAATTTATGGTCCAAATTGAGATTGCTATAAACTTAAAGTGTGTATTAGACTTTGAAGACTTACTGAAAAAATAGAATGTGAAACATCTCATTAATAATTTTTTATATTGACTCTATGTTGAAATGATAATATTTTGGATATACTGGGTTAAGTAAAATAGATAATTAAATGAATTTCATATGTGGCTCACATATTCCTCATGGACAATGATGCTTCAGCTGGTTTCTAAGAACCAAGCTCTTTGATTTGGCAAACCTTTATTAATAGGCCTTTCCAAATCTCTTTGCTTTAATTATCCATATCATCCATGTATAGAGAACATAGTTATGGTTGGCAATAACGAGTCTTAATGCTAAATTACTTTTTTTAAAAAAAAAAAAAAAAACACAGAGCCTACCTTGTCACCCAGGCTAGAGTACAGTGGCATGATCACTGCTCACTATAACCTCCACCTCCTGGGCATAAGCCATCCTCCCACCTCAGCCTTCCAGGTAGCTGGGACCACAGGTGCTCCGCACCACACCTGGCTAGTTTTTGTATTTTTTGTGGAGATGGGGTTTCACCGTATTGTCCAGGCTGGTCTTTAACTCCTGAGTGCAAGCGATCTACCTGCCTCAGCCTGAATTATACTTAAAAACACGTTATTTTTTTGGGTTGGAATATTGCTACATTGCTCAGGCTAGAGTGCAGTCACTTTTCACAGGCATGATCACGGAACATTATAGTCTCGAAACCCTAGGCTCAAATGGTCTTAGCCTCCCAAGTAGCCGGGGCTACAGGTGTGTGCTAGTGTGCTTGGCTGAATTATCCTTTTTATGACTGTCCAAGCAGCTCTGTAGTCATATTTAATTTAGTGAATCATCAGCTGTCAGATGAAGACAACCATGTAGAAGACCCAGTGAGAAATAAAAGGCAAATATCAGTGTCCTTAATCAAGGAGTTCACAGTTCAGTGAGAGAGACAGAGATAAGTGAATCACTCATACAAGGCAGATTATGCCAACTAATAGTTGCAAATGCGGTATCCTGGGAATGTGAGGAAGAGATTAAATCTAACTGAAAGAAGGCCAGGCATGGTGGCTCATGCCTGTAGACCCAGCACTTTGAGAGGCTGAGGCAGATAACCTGAGGTCAGGAGTTCAAGACCAGCCTGGCCAACGTCTCAAAACCGCATCTCTACTAATAATATAAAAATTAGCTGGGTGTGGTGGTGGGCGTTTGCAGTCCCACCTACTTGGGAGGCTGAGGCAGGAGAATCACTTGAACCTGGGAGGCAGAGGTTGCGGTGAGCTGAGATTGTGCCATTGCACTCCAGTCCTGGGCTATAAGAGTGAAACTCCATCTCAAAAAAAAAAAAAAAAAGAAAAACTGTACAAATCTGGAAAAGAAGCATTCAAATGTTAAGATTTAGGGTTTTTTTTCCCCCCGTATGGAATGCTTCACAAATTTCCATGTCATCCTTGCACAGGGGCCATGCTAATTTTCTCTGTAGTGTTCCAATTTTAGTATATGTGCTGCCAAAGCCAGCACCAGATGTTAAGATTTAAACTGAGGTTTAAGGCAGTGAGGAAAAGGACATTCCCAATAGACTGCATCTTTGGGCAAAGAAATTGGGAATAGTTAACAGAGGTGAAAATGCTAGGGCAGGAATGAATTTTCTTTATAATGCCCCTCTTTAAAAAATAAAACAGTTATTGGCATAGAATTTTAAGCATGGCATATTTAAATTTATTTTCTTTCCAGGATTCAAAAGAGTCTTCTCTTTTGGAGAGTGATATTAAACGGAAAGGCAGGCTAAAGAATAAAGGAAGCAAAAGGAAGAAAGAAGATCTTCAGGAAGTAGATGGAGAAATTGAAGCTGTCCTGCAAAAGAAAGGTAAGGTGTGAGTCTTATTGGTGACAATGGTCATGTTTGCTTTGAGAGAAGCATCATTCTGCGAGTTACTACTGAATCATTAATCTTTTAATCTCCTCCTTTTTTGTTTACCAGCTAAAGCCGGGGGGTTAGAATTCCAGATCTCCAACGTGAAGTTTGAAGATGTGGGAGGCAATGATATGACATTAAAAGTTAGTGCAAATTCAGAATTTTACCTCAAATGGCTATGTTACTAATCAGTTATGAAAAAAAGCCTATCTCTTTGCTTCTAATATGAACTGGGTATAGAAGAAACTGGGAAGGTTGCAAAGGGCAAACCTGACCTCTACCCTTTAGGGCATTGCAGGAGAAAAGAGGCATACTATTTTCAACTTTTCCATTATTTTAATTATAGTATACATAAGATCCATGCTTTATAAGTAATATTATCTTAACAGTACGAATAGTTCTGGTAACTTTATTTTTAATGCCTACTCTTTTCCATCTGCCATGCTAGTTACTCTGCATTACATCCTCAAGGTAGATAATGTCATAGCTTAGGAAATAGAAGCTTCTTGGAGAGGTTAGGGCTGAAATCACACAGTAGGTACCAGAGCCAGGATTCAAACTCTGTTCTAAGTCTAAAGTATATATTCTCCCTACCTACTCCATTTCACTGCTCCAAAAAATAGGACATTTCATTCTACTTTGATTCTTCTGTTTTGAAAGACGTCTTTATGCTTATCCTCTGCCAGGAGGTCTGCAAGATGCTCATTCACATGCGTCACCCAGAGGTGTACCACCACCTGGGCGTCGTGCCCCCTCGTGGAGTTCTCCTTCATGGGCCACCAGGCTGTGGAAAGACATTACTTGCACATGCAATTGCTGGGGTGAGGATTGCTGACACTTGTTTGCTTTTGCTGTTTTTGTTGTTATTATTTGTTTTTGTTTTTTTCTTTTTTGTCAACTTAAACCAGACCTGGCATTCTTCAGGAAGAGAATATAGTCATTGGAACTGATCCCTTTGTTATCATGCTGGTATTCTTTGTGGCATTTATTCATTTAGTTTATTTTTTGCTTCTCACGAGCAACTTGAGGAATTTATTTTTAATGTATGTAATTGTATATGGCAAGAGTTAGGTAGAAAATAAAACAATCCATTTCCAAACAAACCTTTTTATTAACACATAGGTTACATTTTAGTTACTTTGCTTTCCCTTTAGCCCAATAGTTATTTTGTTTTATTTATTTTTTTAAGACAGAGTTTCACTGTCGCCCAGGCTGGAGTGCAGTGGTGCAATCATGGCTCACTACAGCATCAACCTTCCAGGCTCAAGTGGTCCTTCCACCTCAGCCTCCCAAGTAGTGGAACCGCAAACACACCACCACACACAGCTAATGTTTTTGGGTGTTTTTTTTTTGTAGAGACGGAATCCCCCCTATGTTGCCTAGGCTGGTCTTAAACTCCTGGCCTCAAGCAGTCCTCCTCAGTCTCCCAGAATGCTGGGATTACAGGCATGGGCCACTGCATCTGCCCTCCCAGTGGTTCTTCAGAGCAGTAAAATAAGAAAACTAGGGTTATATTACTTTTCATACAGCTAAATTTATTCAGAATTTCTATTTAGAGTTATATTTTTATACTTTTTAGTTTTAAAATAATTCTTTCTAAAATGGTAATAATAGATACTTATTTTGTAAAATTAAGTTAGCAATCTTATTTTAGCCCTCTCAGATTTTTCAGAAACTGTATTAGGCAGTAATGTAAAATATCTGAGTAACTTCAATTAGAAAAATAGCATGCTGGCCGGGCATGGTTACTCATGTCTGTAATCCCAGCACTTTGGGAGGCCAAGGCAGGCAGATCACCTGAGGTCAGGAGTTTGAGACCAGCCTGACCAACATAAAGAAACCCATTCTACTAAAAATACAAAATTAGCCAGGCGTGGTGGCGCATGCCTATAATCCCAACTACTTGGGAGGCTGAGGCAGGAGAATCACTTGAACCTGGGAGGCAGAATTTGCCATGAGCCAAAATCGCACCATTGTACTTCAGCCTGGGCAACAAGAACAAGACTCCATCTCAAAAAAAAAAAAAAAAAAAAAAGAAAGAAAGAAAAATAGCATGCCGTACCAAGCACTAATACAATAATGTTCTATTAAAAAAAATCATTTGTAAAGGGAGACTTGATTGGTTTGCTTCATTTTTGTTGAGTAATTCTATGACATCGCCACTGCATGCCAGACTTTGGAATATGTATTAAGTATGGCAATTCTAGTTCTAATATGAGAGAGACATTGAACAGTCTTTTTTTTTTGAGACGGAGTTTCGCTCTTGTTACCCAGGCTGGAGTGCAATGGCGCGATCTCGGCTCACCGCAACCTCCGCCTCCCGGGTTCAGGCAATTCTCCTGCCTCAGCCTCCTGAGTAGCTGGGATTACAGGCACGTGCCACCATGCCCAGCTAATTTTTTGTATTTTTAGTAGAGACGGGGTTTCACCATGTT